TGGAATCACCCTAAGGGTGCATGTGTAGATAATATGTTTAATTTGCATGCATTTAGTCTTTGATTAGGGGTTGTCTATTTGTCATTTTTATCTTGCCATACATACCCTATCTTACTAGCAATTATATGAATAGCGGTAAACTTACGAAAATTAAAAATCCTAAGCTATTACATCATTAGGGGGATGAGGATACAATTTGCGAATAAGTGTCTAATTATTACAACCATATCGAATAAGTGGACAGTAATGAAGAATATATATATAATGCAAAAACAGTGTAAAAAGAAGGAAAAATTGTATTTTGAACTATTATGTGTCGACACATGCTATCATGCATCGACACATAACTTTCCTTGCCCCTGCCAAACCAAATTAATTCAGTATGAGTCGATGCATAATGGGATGTGTTGACTCATTTCCTGCTTGTGTCGACACTTATGTGCTTTGTATCGACTCATGCACCTCCCATCTTTTTGTTTTGGGACCTGGATAGCAATATGAGTCGATGCATAAGGCCACGTGTCGACTCATACCCTATTTTGCCACTAGAATGAGTCGACCCATGTGGGTATGTGTCGACTCATGTTGTAGTTTTTTGCCTCTATCACCATTCTTTTGTATGTATCAGTCAGTTTTTAACATATAAATGATAAAAATGAACAACAAGTAAATGATTAACTTCAAGAGTAATGATTACTTCATCTCATCTTCAGAAATAAACCAAAAATGATGTATGGAAAATGCAAGGTTAAGATGACTTATCTTGCAACTGCACTTTAGGTTTGGAGTCTGAATACCCTTCAAGATGCTGCGTGGACCTTAATGAAACTCCAGGAAGCTGCTGGACCTCCCTTTATGTTGAAGGTTGCTGAACCAACTCCAAACAATCAAGTTTGTGTAGTACTGTCTTTTGTTTAGAAGTTGAGAATAAGGGCACTACAAAAATTGTTCTTGTGCTTGAACAATATCTATGTGATATAGAGTGTTTAGAGGGTTTATGGGAGAATTTACAAGGTTTTACAACCGTGGGTTGAGGATCTTTTCTATTTTGTGAGTAAAAGCAGAGTTGAAGATGAGCAGAGTCTTATGAAAATGAGCTGAGTTTTACAAAAGTTATGTTTTCCTCTTTTCTCCTTTTTTTCTAAAAAAATCATCTCTTGAGTCTTATGAAATAGTCCCTTTTGTAGATCCTTGACTGAGGTTTAGGCGAGAAACATAATAAGTTATTTTTAACTGTTTTTGCCTACTACTTTGATACTTTTTCCACACAATTTCCTTTTGCCATTTTGGTGCAATTTTGTGTCTATTATGATGCAGGTTGGAGCAGACTGCATAGAGCAGTTTTGGACTGGTTTTCTGGACATATTTTGGACTGTATAGGACAACATATACAAGTTTTGTGACAGGTTTGTGGTGCAGCATAGCACAAGGTTTTGTAGGACAACAATTGAGCAGGGTTTTGGAGTGTTGTGGCAATGTATAAAAGTAACATATCATTTTTGTTCAGCAATAACTTGGACAACATAGTTTGCAGCATGAAACAAGTTTGGTTTGTGGAGCAATTTATGCATATTGTATCAAAGACAAAGCATTGTGGCAAGGTTTTGAGTCAAAGGAAAAAGTCCAAGCAATACAAAGTCTAGGATTTGTAAACTTGCAAAAATGCCACTTTGTAATAACTTGAATTATTTGTAATATCTTGAACTATTTTTAATTGTAGTGACAAGATGTCATGAAGCAATTAACTTAACTTAGAAAAATTTCCAAGTCTTGCAAAAGTTGGATTTTTGACTTTCTTGATTTTTGATGATCAAATTTAATATTTTGGATGTCTTGATGAAATGTGATTTTGGGGACTCAACTTTGGTCAAAAAGTCAAAGTTTGACTTTTTAGTAAACAGTTGACATTTCCCATCAGTTGCCCAAATTTTGTCTATCGATCCACTGATCTCAGGAGATGAACTGAAATATGTAATTAGGTCAAAATGACGCACTCGGATCCTTGAGATCATACTTTCAACCAATAAGCCAGGTATTAGGTCAAAAATCAAAGTTCGGTCCTTTTCAGTCAAAACCCTAATTTTGCCCATTTTGGTAATTTGAATGACTTTCTTGGAACATTGTGATCCAAGACTTAAAACTTGACAAAAATAATCCCGAGGGTCCATAATGATCCATGAAAGTCAATTGAAACATTATGAGTCCCACTGCCTTTGTACAAACTCAAACCCTAATTTGAAGTATCAGTGTTGAGGAAATTATTTGACCTAGTTGATACTTGCACAAACTTGAGGTATTGCAGATCTTTGTAGGAAATATATTGAGAAATGAGAGGGAAAAATTTGGGGTACAATAGTCGGTACAGAGAAGAATTGTGATGCGTAATCTTGAACTGCATGCAAAGTTCCATGATCATAGTATTGTTAAGATTGGTACCATTATCTGTGATGATCCTTTCAGGAATGCCGTATCGGCAAATGAGATTATGCTTGATGAACTGAGCCACAACATTCTTGGTAGAAGAAGCAAACGAGACTACCTCCACCCATTTCGTGAAGTAATCAATAACGATGAGGATGAAATGATGTCCATTGGAAGCGGTATGCTTAATATCTACAATTATATTAATGCCCCACGTTGCAAACGGCCAAGGAGCAGCCAATACATTCAAAGGAACCGGAGGCACATGTACTTTGTCAGCATAAATCTGGCATTTGTGGCAAGTTCTGGAATGATGATAGCAATCGGTTTCCATGGTAGACCAGTAATAACCCACTCTTAGAATCTTCTTAGCCATCATATGTCCAATGGAGTGAGTACCAAAGACACCTTTATGTATATCTTCCATGATCTTCTCAGCTTCCTTCTTGTCTACACAATGAAGCAAAGTTGAATCGTGGTTACGTCTATGATCGTACCCGACCATAATGGACCTTCGTAGTTGGCTTGAGCAAATGTTGAGAGTGAAGTGGGGGGGGGGGGGGGGGGTACCTGTAAGACACTCTGATGCCAAAATGAGTTTGGGAATGAGAAAGCAAGTATGAGTTTAGAAAGTGTTGAATACCTGACCCTCTCGAAAGAGACGGTATTTATAGCCCCCAATGCTGAGCCAAGGTCTCTTAATTGGACTGATCAAGCAGGCCAGACTTAGAGTCTGTCAGGTTCTACGTGAGTAGTGGGGACCCACATGTGGTCCCCAACCTGGATGACGTCCTCCACAAGGCCAGGAGGATATGGATGCGATCTTTTCGAGACCATGAAGACTCTGCATATCCAGAGACGTTGGTAGTAAGCCCTACGAGGAAGATGCTCAGGAGGAGCGTCTGCTCGTCGTGGGTGATCCCCGCCAGACATGAGCTCGATATGGGATCAATATATATATATATATATATATATATATATATATATATATATATATATATATATATATATATAAGATGAAGCCCTCCAAAATTGGGGGCCCTGTGTTAAGGCCCTTGCTGCACTTGCACAAGACCGACTATAAACTTTGATTCCACTTGTTTAGAAGTTTGGGGAGTGCCAAAATTGTCAGTAAACTAAACGTTCAAGATCCTAGAGACTTTAACACCACATATATATCCAAAATCGTAAGATATTTGACTTATGTGTTTACTCTCTTATAAATTCAACATTTTCGCTAATTATATTGGATGTGGATCTTAACCATTCACATTTAAATTCAACAGTATATATGATAAAATAAGAGTGTTTCATATAAAAAAATAAGATTTATAAAACAATATAAACCTTTCTTCAAAGTGAAGCTTGTAGAAAAGAAAATGAGGAAGGTAAAACTAAATAAGTACATGTGAAAATCATCTGAATCACATTACCATCTCACTTTAAATGATATCGATTTGTAGAGATGATAAATAAGAATCGAGTAGAAACATATAAAATATCTTTAAATTTTAATTAAAATATTTTTTACACTTTCAACTAATTATTTACGTGCATTCCATCTACTCACATTTTTTATTTTAAAATACTGATAAAACATAATTAAATGATATAATTCTATTAGATAATAGTGTAAAATTAATTTACACCGACAATGCATTACTAGGGGCGAGAATAGGCCAAACTTACTAATAGTGTCCTACGGCCTAGCCTACACAGACCAAGGTTAGACCAGACTTATTTTAAGTAGAAAATGCCAAGATTTTTTTATAAGCCTATTTAGTTAAATAGGCTAAGTCACGGGCCTTAAAGAAATTCTTTTAAGCCTATCAAACCGACCTATTTTAATAAATATGAATAAATTTATTGTTTTTTGTAATGTTTTTTTTTTACTTTATGTTAAAATACAAAAGTAAAATTTAGTTATCTTGAAGACATTGTGAAAATAAGTTGAAAAAACATTATGAATAATGTCATAATTTGTTTTCATAAATTCTCTCAAATAAATAATCTCATAAATTATACTACTATGTAAACTCAAATAAGTCAATGTGAACAAACATTTTATCTCATTGTATTTTTGATTCTCTAGTATATTTAAACATTAGTTGAATTTTTTATTTACAAATGTTCAAATGATATAGACTTTTTAAGCAGACTAATAGGTTAATAAGACATTTGAAAATGCCAAACTCAGATTAAAAAATAAGTCTATGATAGACCACATACCAGATTTAGGCTTTGAAATTTTTAACAGATCAAACTCAAACTTGACAAAACTTAGCTCGGCTCCGCCTATTCCCACTCCGTATAATTTCTAGTAAATAAATAAAATATATTTATTGTTTTGTTAATAATATATTTAATTATTTATCTAAATAAAATAAATATATGAAATAAAAAAAAAATAATTAAAAATTAAGGGCACAGATTTCATTTGAGAAGAGAGGCTCTTCTGTTCCCGCTTGTGTCATTTCCAGTTTGATTTGAATTTCAGAGTACACCAAACGGTAACACAGAGCCCAGATCCAACGCAACACAAGAGAAAACCTCTCTCTCTCTCTCTCTATCTCTTTCTCATGGCTCCTCACTTCGTCTTCCCTCGCAATCTTCAAGACCTCGAACAAGATTCACCCGACGACAATTCTCTCTCCGTCCAAAACCCCACCAACATCGCTTCCCTTTCTTCTTCCCAACTCGAAGAATTCGTCAAAGGTAAACACAAATTCAAACAAACTCAACGAAATCCATAAATTCAACTAATCTAATACTCTCTGCTTCTATTTTCTCAACAGGCGTTTCATTCGACCTCTCTGACAGAGAAATCCTCTGCGTTGAAGACCAAGATGTTTTCGACCGTGTTTACTCTCTCGTTTGCGGTTACGCTTCTTTACCTAACTTATGTAAACTCAACCTTGTTGAAAGTCTCCGTTCCAACCTCGCCGTTCTTCTCCCCAACGTTGATTCGCTTTCAAGGGCTTCCAACGAGGAAGACGCCCACGTTCTCATTATTGACCGCGTTGCTTCTCATCGCAACACTTTTAAAATTTACACTTACTTCCTTCTCAACATTGTTCTCGCCGAAGATTCCAATAATACCCCCAAGGTAACTAGTGTCAAAATTTCAAACCTAGAAATCAAACTATATTCTATCGTGTAAATTCAAGTATCTGGTATAGGTAGATCTAAAATTTGAGAATTATAGGAATTGGTATCAGATTTTATAGGGTAGAAAAATTGTTTAGTTTGAAGCATGTTTGTTGTATTATGTTTTCAGGTGGTGGCAGCTAGTGCCAGGAAGAAACAACCTGTCCATTCGTGGAATTGGGAGCCACTCAGAGCTCGGATTCTCGGTCTCATTGCCAGCTCATTGGAGATAAACCTTGAATTACTTTTTGGTTCATCTGACCCTGACGAAGGTTACTTGTCTTTCATCACAAAGTGAGTAATCATATCATAACGTTTCACCTTTCTTCAGTTTGGTACCACTACTCGGGACTTTCTGATTTTTCCATCCATTTTTTTTTTTTGTAGAAATGCATTCTCCATGTTTGAAAATGCGGCGATTTTAAAAGATTCCAACTCAAAAGATGCCCTCTGTCGCATAATCGGAGCCTGCTCCACTAAGTACCATTACACGACACAGTCCAGTGTATCCATCATGCACCTTATTCACAAATATGATTTTGTTGTCGTCCACATGGCGGATGCGGTCGCTGGTGCCCTAAAGAAGTATTTAGATGGAAGCCTTGCAACTTCCATTGTTAGAGAAATTGGAAGGATTAATCCAAAAGATTATGTCAAAGACACTGTTGGTGCTGAAAATGTGGGGCGTTTTCTTGTGGAGTTAGCCGACCGTATTCCCAAACTGATATCAACTAACATTGGCATTCTTGTTCCTCACTTTGGTGGTGAGTCTTATAAGATCAGAAACGCTCTTGTTGCCGTGTTGGGGAAGCTAGTATTAAAAGCGTTTAAGGATATTGATGGTGAAGCGAGTACGAAGAATATTCGGCTGCGTACTAAGCAAGCTATGTTGGAAATTTTGCTTGAGAGATGTAGGGATGTTTCAGCTTACACCAGGAGTCGTGTGCTTCAGGTGTGGGGGGAGTTATGTGAGGAACACTCAGTTTCAATTGGTTTATGGATCGAGGTTGCAGAAGTTGCTGCTGGGAGATTGGAGGACAAGAGTGCAATAGTCAGAAAATCTGCTTTGAATCTGTTAATCATGATGCTGCAGCATAATCCTTTTGGCCCGCAGCTCCGAGTAGCTTCATTTGAGGCAACATTGGATCAGTATAAGAAGAAGTTGAAAGAGCTTGAGCCTTCCGAAGGTTCTGATAATGAAAACTCTCATGTGGGTGGTGATGTAGGTGATTTGAATTTTGAAGCTGTTGAGAAGGAACGGCAAGAGAGTGTGACTGACACATTTATGTCACAGGAAGAAGATGCAGTCCCTATGCAGAATGGTAGTGATAGTAGTGTGCCTGATGTTGGGAACTTGGAGCAGACTAGGGCCTTGGTTGCATCGCTTGAGGCTGGATTGAGATTCTCTAAATGTATAGAGGCCACAATGCCAACGCTTGTCCAGTTGATGGCGTCATCTTCTGCTACTGATGTTGAAAATACAATTCTCTTGTTGATGAGGTGTAAGCAATTTCAAATTGATGGCTCAGAAGAAAGTCTCCGAAAGATGTTGCCCCTGGTAAGCCATAAGTTCTCTGTATTGTCTAACAAGGTTATTTAAAGTTTATTTAGTTGTTGCTTCAATGTTTATTCATGACAAAGTGTGGAATGGTTCTGTATGATCAATGCAACTGATTCTATCGTTGGCTGTTGTTGTTTGTTTCTTAATTGTGTTGTGTACTCTGAATTATTGACTGTTGATTTTTCTGAAATTAATTTACTTTCTGGTATTTGCTCTTGGTTGTAGGTTTTTTCTCAGGATAAATCCATCTTTGAAGCAGTGGAGAATGCTTTCAGTACAATATACATAAGGAAAAGCCCAATGGAAACTGCCCAGAATCTCTTGAGCCTTGCAACTGGTTCCAATATAGGAGATTTGGCAGCTCTTGAGTTTATAGTTGGCACCCTGGTCTCTAAGGGAGATATATCTTCCAGCACAGTATGTTTTCATGCATCGTTATGCTGTATGTTATATAAATAAGTTATTTGAAATTGAATGCCTCTAGATTTGCCTCAATGGTGATATTTCATATCCCTAGGAAGAACTAGAACTTTGATTTTTGTAGGTCTGAAAAGATAAATGCATTGAGTCGTCAATTTCAAACACAAGCCTGTATTTTATACAAACATGACTAGCAACACTACATCCTAGTTATATCAAATGTTAATCCATGTTGTAAAAGAAGTCAATGCTCTTTTCTGAGTTAAATAAATTATTTGATAAGATATAAACTAATACTTTCACCCCGTGCGATGCAGGGGACAAATTATGGATAAATATTGTACATGAGGAAAAAATAAGGATTTTTGTTGATTGAATAGTTGAAGTATATAGAAATTAGTGATGGATTAATGAGATGGAGTAATTAATATATATTAAATAACATTTGTTGGAAAGAGAAAAATAATAATGTGATTAAAAACTGTTTAGGCGGGATTTTACTCAAAATTAGGCGCCTAAGTGTGTATTTTGTTTTAATATATTAAGGATAATGATATTTAATGTAAACAAGGCTGTATGTTTTCTTTTGTTTTATATCCCTGTTTACAAGTTTAAATATGATTTGTGATACTGATGAGAATTGGCTGATACTTGCATACTTAGATATCATTGGATGATAAACACTGCTCTTAGATAAGCATAAATAAACACAAACATGTTTTAAATTGGAAAGTAGGATTCAGATTGTTAATGCTGGCAATAAGCTACAAACTCTTGTTTGAAATATTACAGCGGCTTCCTTTCATTTCCTCCCTCAAAATACATTCTTGCTGTCGTCATATTGAATTTGGTTCCTGTCATTGATTTGATTTTTTCAAAGTGCTTCCACTATTGCAGATATCAGCATTATGGGATTTCTTTTGCTTCAATGTTGGTGGAACCACTGCAGAGCAAAGCCGTGGCGCTTTATCTGTCCTTTGCATGGTAGAAAAGACATCAACTGGTGTACTTGGCTCACATTTACAAGACATCATTGATATTGGGTTTGGTCGTTGGTCTAAAGTTGATCCTTTGCTGGCAAGGACAGCTTGTCTTGCTATTGAGAGGCTTTCTGAAGACGACAAGACAAAGTTGTTGGCAAATAGTAGTGTTCGAATATTTGGCATTCTCGAAAGTTTAATTACTGGCTATTCGCTTCCAGCAAATATTTGGTATGCTGCTGCTGACAAAGCAATAACTGCCATATATGCTGTTCACCCTACTCCAGAAACCATAGCAGCTGACATGATAAATAAATCTCTCAGTTCTATTTTTAAGGATTGTGGTGGTAGTGACATTGACACTAATAGCACCATTCCAATCACAGTTCATGAGGCAAAGCTGTGTAGATGTTTATTTGTCATAAGTCATATTGCCATGAATCATTTGGTCTATATTGAATCATGTGGCCGTAAAATTCAGAAGCAGAAAATTGCAAAAGAGAAAAAAAACATTGAGAATCAGAGTGCCGACAGTAAAGGCACAGCGTCAGCTGGTGGTACACAAAAGGTGCAATCAGTGTTTTTAACTACTGTTCTGTCATACTTGATATAGCTTCAACTAACAGTTTATTGACATATTTTGATCTTTTACTGTCAATTCTTTAGCAATTTGGTTAATTGTGTTGCAGGATAATGATATAAATGCCGAGTTAGGATTTGCAGCCTCTGAGGATGCTGCACTTGATGCAATGTTTGAAAAAGCCGAAAAGGAAATTGTTTCTGGTGGTTCAAATGAAAAGAATTTGGTTGGTATTTGTGCAACCTTTTTGTCAAAGCTTTGTAGAAATTTTGGACTACTGCAAAAGGTGATTGCTTTGATATCCTACTTCACAAAAATGAATATCTTGCATTTTGTGTTGATCTGTTTGTGATTTGGTGTATTTTTCATCATATATATGGAAAAAACTAGCTACTTTTGAAATGTGAAAATTGAATATATTTTTTACATATAATTAATGTCACATACAATTTTAAAGTGTTAAGGAAAGAAACTTTTTAAATTTTTATCTTTATGTGATTTCACAGCTATAATTCATTAATTTGTTGTTTGATAATGTTAGAATATTATATTATAACTTTTATATTAATTTAGAGTATCTCAGTATTTCTTAGTATCATGTTTGATATTAATTATTTTATCATGATTTGGTCTTGATTTATGATTGAGTCTACGTATCCCTATAAATAGGGATTAATATTGAGTCTTTTTGTATGAAGTATATAATAATTATCAATCAAATTTTTCTCTCATCTTTTACACAATCACAAACTCAAGATGGTATCAGAGAGAGCCTGATTATATCCAGGGTCATATGGGTTATGGGCTCTAACATATATAACTGCTTTCTTCAGTATCCAGAATTACAGGCTCCTGCAATGCTTGCTTTGTGTCGTTTGATGGCCATTGATGCAGAATTTTGGTGAGTTATTCTTGCCCATTTTCTACCTCTTATCCTGAAATTCTGTCCCTACTTTATCTATGCCATATAATGAAATGAAAATGTTCTAAGTAAGTTTTTTTCAGTGATGCAAATCTTCAGCTTCTCTTCACAGCTGTGGAAAATGCACAGTCAGAAACTGTCCGTTCTAATTGCACTATTGCACTAGGAGACTTAGCAGTAAGGTTTCCCAATCTTTTAGAACCATGGACAGAAAAAATGTATGCCCGCCTACAAGATCCTTGTGTATCTGTAAGGAAGAATGCGGTTCTGGTGCTTTCGCATCTCATACTAAATGATATGATGAAGGTATAGGTCACTTAAGTTGTTAATATTGTTTTTGTCCCTCTTAATTTTGCCGTGCTTTAGACACTGATGCAATCATGTCTCTATTAGGTGAAAGGGTACATTAATGAAATGGCGGTTAGATTAGAAGACGAAGATGAGAGAATTTCAAATCTAGCAAAGTTGTTTTTTCTTGAACTTTCCAAGAAAGGTTTTTCCTTATTCTCTTTTGAATAAAGTTGTCTCCTATTTCTCGATATACATTTTTCAAGGTAGAAAGGTATTTAATATAGTCTCTTGGCATTGCAACAGGAAACAATCCAATATATAATTTGCTTCCTGACATACTTAGCAAATTATCCAAGCAGAACCTGAGCAATGAATCTTTCTGCAACATCATGCAGTTTTTAATTGCTTCCATCAAGAAGGTATATGTTTTCTCACAATGTTTACATTGCTTCCTATGTTTATTCTGATTGCCACTCTCATTTAGTTTTTTAAGTACTCCAGGACCGACAGATGGAAGCGCTGGTGGAAAAGCTATGTAATAGGTTTAGTGGTGTTGCAGGTATCATTGTTTCCCTTATTTTTAAATACTCTCTATATTAATAGTTCAACTAGTTAATGCCTAAAATTGTCTGAGCTAATGTTCACCCTAGATGATACTTCCTAACAACTGCCATAATGATCAAATGTGTCTCAATTTCTCTGCAGATGTCAGACAGTGGGAGCATATATCTTATTGTCTCTCTCAGCTATCATTTACTGAAAAGGGAATGAAAAAACTCATAGATTTATTTAAGATCTATGAACATGCCTTGTCAGAGGATTCTGTTATGGATAATTTCAGAAACATATTGAACAAGGTAATGATATTTTTTATTGCTTGTGCATACTTTATATGATAAGGCTGAGGGCTTTTCTCTTGTTTTACTCAAATTTTAAATTGAAATCAGGCAAAGAAGTTTGCAAAACTGGAACTTAAAACTTACATTGAGGAGTTTGAGGAGAAGCTGACTAAGTTCCACATGGAAAAGAAGGAACAGGAAGTTACTGCTCGAAATGCCCAAATTCATCAACAGAAGATTGACAGCAGGGAGAACTTTAACATGGATAAAGATTCTGAAGAATACTCAAAATCTAATACTTCAGGTTAGCTTTGCAAACCTTAAAATGTTCAGGTTTTATACACTCTACTCTCTTCCTAATGAATTTGTAATATAAGTTCAATGCCAGTGATAGCAATTCTTGCCCATGAGTGTATTTTGTCTAAATTCTTTATTTTTCAGTTCTACAATTGTTAGTAGCTTTTCTCGCCAGCTTTCCCCTTATTTGAGTTGTGCATGGATATTATGAATTTGTGATATTTTCAATTGGAAATAGATATAAAAGCACATGGCAATGGTGTTGCTTTTACAAACTTGAAAGAAAATAGTTAGCATTGGACCAGAGTACTAATCAATTGGTACTGGGGATGAAGAAATTAGGTGGTAAATCAACCCAAAGTGTTATTGGACCCATAACTTCCTATTAATAGCAAATTACTAATTCAAAGCTAATAATTACATTAGTGTCCAACTCTGTTACGACATCCCCACATTCAGTTAGCCGCCCCACACCCCTTAGCAAACACTTCATTAACTATTAGCCTCCTATCAACTTGCTATTTATCGTAAGTCAGAACTAAAGAGTCCAAGTCACTCTTGAACTCAATTGATCTGTTTTATACATTCTTTCTGAAGTGTGGTATTCCACTCAAAAGTATTCAACACTGCATAAATACACTACTACTTTAAAATGTGTGTAAGTGAAAATTGTTGTGATTGACAAGAATTTCTAATGGGACGTGTTCTACATGATTAATCTTTAATAATAGTGGAATAAAGCCAACCATCAAGAACGTATTGGCAAATGCCAATCCACTGTTAAGTAGGCAAAGAGGATAAACATGTAAGGCATGAATATGCCACATGATTTTACTGGATAAACAACTTTCTCTTGATTAAAAAATATGATGTTGAAGAATTTTATTTTACCATATAGTTTCTCGTTTTCGATGAGCTTATGGTGAATTTTATGTTAACAACGTTTGCTTATAATCTTGTGTGTTCTGCAGATGAAGCAGTTGGTGAAGTAGTTGATCCAAGTATTGAAGAGACAAACACTTTGTCTATAAATGGTAAACCTGTGCCAGAAGCATCTTCTAGTGCCTCAATAACTAAACCTGTGCCAGAAGTATCTTCTAGTGCCTTGACTGAATTGACTGAGCCAAATCAATTGGATATTGAAGTTCAATCACCCATGGTTAAGACAAGAGGTAAGCTAAAGCACAGCTTTTGTGAATCTGGCTGTCTGCATTATTGTAATTAACATGATGCTCGCAAATTATAGGAGCTCAACGATCCAGAATTAAAAAAAACAGCGTGAAAGAGGAAAAAGGTGATATCTCTATCACCAAGAAAAGAGTTACTCGGTCTAGGAGGTATGCCTCTATGCATGAAAGGTTAAGCGCCTCTGCATCTTTGATTTGCATTATTAGATTTTAACTTTCTGATCTTGCATTGTGCGTGATACATAAATCCTGACGAGAAAATAATTAAAGCAAATGGATTTAAAGATTTTTGAATCTTGATAAAGCATTATGGAAAATGTTTTAGTCATTTAATCTAAGTAATGTAAATAGTTAGAGAAGCAGATTCTGGTTTTCAAAGCAAGCTAATGGGTAATGAAAATGTCTCTTGTAAGTTGATTAGTTATATCTTTGATTTACACTATTTTCGCAAAAAGGCAACTTTCCTATTAGATGTAAAGAAAACATAAATATGATGCTGGTATACTTAGAAGGCGCTGCTTTCAGAATGCATATATAATGTTTCAATATAAACCAGAAGTTAAAATATAATTTACTTGCAAATGTTCTTGGTGAATTAGTTATTTTACTGTTTTCTGACTGAAAAGTCACTCAATTATTTATAACAATGAATTTGTATCCTCACGCAGGTAAATACAGAGACACCTTTGGATGAAAAGATAGACTCATCAGTTTGATTTTCAATTTTTTTATGATTGTGATACATATGGATGCATTATCAAAACGCCGTGTTTAACAGTGGAGCACTTCTTTTCGGAAGTTGTACATGTGAAAGTTGTACATGGTTGTATTATTCACAATTTATTATGGTGTATGTTTGGTTTTACTTTGAATTGATTCAGGGTGATTTTGAGGTGTTTGATTTTTTAAATGTAGAATTGATTCTGTTTTTAGAATTGATTTTACTTAAAGTTAGAATTTAAAATTTGTTGTACAACTCACTTTTATATAAATGTATGCAAATATAAATCAATTTTACTAAATTCAATTTTATTAAAGTTAATTCTATCAAATTCAATTATGTAGAATCAATTATGTCCACCATTAAACTAAACACAAATAATTGGATATTATAATCCCTATGGTTTTGTTTTTATAAAATTGATTATAAAATCAATTATATCCGTAATCAAAATTTATAACTGTTTATAGATTTAACCGAATTTAAAGTTTATATCCGATTTTCAATTTTAAAATTGATTTTGGACAAAGATACGGATTTTAAAATAATATATTAATTTTTTATAACCCATTTTTTACTAAAATTGATTTCGGAAAGTTAATTATATTGTTTAATTATAAGTACATAGAGAAATAAGAGTAAAAAGTAACTGAATTCCTTAATCTATCCCATGACTTTCTTACGCACTACGTGAATTTCCATAAATGCTTTTCAAAATCGGAAGTATATCTTCGGTGCGCATCTAGATCTGATAAAGTATAGATAGAAACCAGAAATTTAATTTCGATTTGGAACCGAATGTGTATTTCTGATTTTATTCTTTACAGAAACCAGAAAACATTATTGAATTGCATCATATTCTCACAATACAACTCAGTCCATATAATTGAAATTATACTTCCGATTATATATGAAATGTCAAGGTAGCAACAAAATTCATTCTTCTCGCTAATAGAATCGAAAACAGAATTTCGATTTAGAACCGGAAGTATACCTCTGATACTGTTTTTTACATTTTGAAGGATGAAACCACATTTGTCCAGTTTTGTGCAAAATATGGTGTGAATCGGAAATACATTTTTCGATTTTTCGAAGGACAATTTTAGAATTGTTTAAGGTCATTTTTCTGTATAGAGTGGGGTAAGAAATTTCTAAAAGTAATAGAGATATGGGGTTATATTGGGGTTGTGTCACACTTGCAATGAAGTGTAATAGTTACGGTATAAATGATATTGGTATTAATAGTTTGGTGTCAATATAGTACATCTCAAAGTAATATTGTGATATTTTTTTAATAGTTTTGGGAGTGAGATATGGTCTCTAACTATTGTGCAGGAATCAAAACTCCTGAATTATTTTTATAAGAATTGTCTTATAATAGATATGGTTAAGAGTCTCACATCAAATAATATATGACTTGAATATGTGTTTATAAGTTAGGGTAATTTTCATCTTATAAGCCGATTTTGTAGGGTCGAGTTAGGCCCAACCTACACATTCAAAGATGATATCAGAGCCATATCTATGATCCATTAGGCCACCCACCATTTAGTTTCACACTCCAGACACAATTCTTAGGCGTGAGAGGGGGTGTTAAGAGTTTCATATCGGATAATATATGACATGAACATGTGTTTATAAGTGGGACAATTCTCACCTTACAAGCCGATTTTGTAAGGCCGAGTTAGGCCCAACCACACATTCTAAGAAATATACTATGCCTCAACGCTTGATCTTGCAACTACATTTTGTTTCTTACTTTTCCAGGATATAAGGTTTTATCCAACAAGTACACAATACCCAGAAGTGGATCGTCTATCAATTGGTGACCCTGCCCAATCAGCATCGGAGTATCCAACTATTTGAGTATGTCATTTATCTTCATACACTAAGCCTTTTCCTGGAGCACATGTGTTCCTAACAAGGAGAATTTTAAGAACTGACTTATCATACTGACTGCAAAAGAAATGTCTGGATGAGTGACTGTGAGATAATTCAACTTTCCAACCAATCTCCTATATCTTCCCGAGTTTGATAGAGGTTCCCCCTGATTGGGTAGTAGTTTGACACTTGAATCCATATGAGTATCAACTGGTTTAGCGTTTAACAAACATGTTTCTTCCAAAATATCCATAGCATATTTCTGCTGAGAAATCACCAAACCATCTTTAGATTGGGCTACCTCAATACCCAAGAAATACCAAAGTTTACCAAGATCTTTTGTCTGAAGTTAATTCAAAAGATGTTGTTTCAACCAGAGTATTCCCTGCTCATCACTACCAATCATGACAATATCATCTACATACACAATAAGATAAATACACCATTGGACTGAGTGACGATAAAAGACAAAATGATCAACTTCACTATAGACCATATCAAATTATTGAACTACAATGCTGAATCGGCCAAACCAAGCTCTCGGAGAAGGTATCACTATAATCCAACCCAAAAATCTGAGTGTATCCTTTGGCTACCAAGCGAGCTTTAAATCGATCAATCTTACCATCTGCACTAACTTTCACTGTATAAAGCCAATGATAACCTACTAATGATTTCTTAGGGGTAGAGGAACCACTTCCTATGTACCACTACTTTGAAGAGCACACATTTCATAAATCATTGCTTGCCTCCATTCAGGGTGAGATAATGTTTCACCTGGAGTGTTAGGAATAGAAACAAAAGACAAAGAAGACAAACAAGTATACTGCAAAGGGGAAAGGCGATGATAGCATAAATAAATCCAAATTACAGAAATTGGTGTCAAGTTTATCGAAAGTATCTAATTTACATTGTGAGTCGTTTCAGTTAGAGAAACACACTCGTAGTCAATTTCCCAATCGAGTCAATAAACAAGCTTCCTCCCTTTTGCTTTAGTTTACTCCGATATTTGAGGTCCCTCATTTATTATCTCTACTCTTGAGTCTAAGTATTTTTTCACCTTTATTGATGATTTTTCACGTTGCACGTGGTTATTTTTAAGTAGATCGAAATTATTTTCTATTTTTGAAATTTTTTATAAAGAAAAAAAACTCAGTTTGGTGTGTCTATTCATACCTTAAGAAATGATAATGCTCGTGAATATTTATCCTAACAATTTAAAACTTTTATGTCCAGTAATTGTATTCTCCACCAAACATATTTCCCTTATACAACTCAACAAAATGGGGTAGCCAAACACAAAAATAGACATGTTGTAGAAACCACTCGAACCCTACTTCTCCATGGTAATGTTCCACTTCGGTTTTGGGGAGACATTATGCTAACGACATGTTACCTTATAGATTGCATGCCATCATCTGTCGTTAAAAATAAAATCTCCCATTCAATCCTTTTTCCCCATTCCCCCCTTCACCCAATTCCTCCACAAGTCTTCGGTTCTACATGTTTTGTCCACAATCTCTCTCCTGATCTTGATAAACTATCAGCTCGATCACTAAAGTGTGTTTTTTTTTTGAAAGAGAAAAAAGTATATTTTTCTTGGTTATCATCAATCCCAAAAGGGTTATCGTTGCTATTCACATACCCTACAACAATACCCCATGTCGGTCGATGTCACCTTCTTTAAGTTTGTTCTATATTTCGAGTCCAACTAAGTAATTCCGAAACCCCCTCAGGAGAATACTCTCACATCTCTTCCAGAAGTCTCATATGTCATTATCCCCCATCATTCTAGGGAATCTGACCCACTAGATAACCCCACGGTTGACCTCCTGACTTCCTGTCCACTTCAAACATATCAGCGTCGTCAACCAACGTCTGTTGTACCTGTCTCTGAGGTCGTACCTGCCCCTGAGGTCGTAAATGTCCCTGAAGTCATTGCTGACTCTCCTCCGACGCTCTCGCCATCACCGGATCTGATCCTGCAACCTGAGTCTGATATTCCGATTGCCCTTCGAAAAGGTATATGTCAAACCACATTACTTAACATAGTATCCGAGCATCGTTTAAGAGGTGTTAAGAGTTCCACATCGAACAATATATGGCCTGAACATGTGTTTATAAGTGGGGGCAATTCTCACCTTACAAGACATTTTTGTAGGATCGAGTTAGGCCTAACCCACACATTCTTAAGATGGTATCAGAGCCTCATCTAAGATCCATTGGGCCACCCACCATTTAGTTTCACGCTCTAGACGCAATTCTTAGACGTGAGAGGGGGCGTTAAGAGTCCCACATCGAATAATATATGACCTGAATGTGTTTATAAATGGAGGCAATTATCATCTTACAAGTCAGTTTTGTAGGATCGAGTTAAGCCCAACCTACACATTCTAAGAGATAATATATATATATATATATATAACATTTTTTAAAATATTATTATTTTTAAATTTATATTTTATAAATTGAAATATTAGTTTTGACATTAATTAACATAAATATATATTATTTAAGATTAAAAAATAATTAAAACTACAATTTTTTACAAATTAAATGATTTTTAAAAAATTTAATATTAAAAATGTTATAATACTATATTTCTTATTGATTCTGCATAGTCTCTATAATTTATGTAAATTTATTCATGTCGTAAATATGTTTTACCCGTAAGTAAAAAGTAGTTTCTACAATTAAATTTTATTTTGGTACTAATTTCTAAGATCTTGAAGTTATTTCATGGTTTACACACGAAGGATAGAGCACTCTAGAATGTGGGTTTGATAGTAAGGGAGTGTGTAAGGTAACAGTGGCGAGGGTACATGAATTTTTATTAATTTTATAATAAATTTAACTTTACTTATATTAATTAAAGACTATACTTATATGGATTACAAAACCATATGCTTTTATTAATTCATATGGTTTTGTGCTTCTATATTAATTTTATTCATATTAATTAAAATAAATTATAAATTAAACTATACTAAATTAATTTGTAATTTTAAATATATATATTTCATAGTAACATATGATGATGTCTATAGAAACCATGCAAATTCTAATGGTTTTGGGTTTTATTCTACTTGAAAGCTTGTTAATGTGATAATATCAACTTATTATTAATAATAAAATAATATTTATGTGTGACAAAAAAAAAGCAACCGAATGAGAGAGTTATTGCAAGTTATAACGTGTAAGTGACACTGAAAAAAAACAAGTGAATAAAAACAAGGGTGCAAATTTAATTATTTCAAGGGGTGCAAAGTATCTATTTTATAAAAAATTAAAGTAAGAATTAAAATTTGAAGGGGTGCAGTTGCACCCCTTGGGTCCAACGTGGGCCCGCCCTCATATGGG